GCCTGCTCAGTATGATATTGACTGTGGGTTTGTTGTAAATAGCTTTTGTTATTTTGAGATATGTTTCATTGATACCTAGTTTATTGAGAGTTTTTAGCATAAAGGGCTGTTGAATTTTGTCCAAGGCCACCTCTGCATCTATGGAGATGATCATGCAGTTTTTGTCTTTTGTTCTGTTTATGTGGTAGATTACATTTATAGATTTGCATATGTTGAACCAGCCTTGCATCCCCAGAATGAAGCCTTCTTGATCGTGGTATGTAAGATTTTTGATGTGCTGTTGCATTCAGTTTGCTATTATTTTATTGAAGATTTTTGCATCAATGTTTATCATGGATGTTGGCCTGAAGCTATCTTTTTTAGTTGAGTCTCTGCCAGGTTTTGGTATCAGGATGACGTTAGTATCATAGGGAGGATTCCCTCTTTTTGTATTGTTTGGAATAGTTTAAGAAGGAATGGTAACAGCTCCTCTTTGTACATCTAGTAGAATTCAGCTATAAACCCGTCTAGACCTGGACTTTTTTTGGTTGGTAGGCTACTAATTGCTGCCTCAAATTCAGACCTTGTTCTTGGTCTATTCTGGGATTCAGCTTTTTCCTGGTTTAGTCTTGGGAGCGTGTAAGTGTCCAAGAATTTATCCATTTGTTCCAGATTTGCTGGTTTATGTGCATAGAGTTGTTAGTAGTAATCTCTGATGGTGGTTTGTATTTCTGTGACATTGGTGGTGATATCCCCTTTATCATTTTTTATTGCATCTATTTGATTCTTCTCTCTTTTCTTTTTTATTAGTCTAGCTAGTGGTCTGTCTATTTTGTTGATTTTTTCAAAAAACCAGCTCCTGAATTTTTTGCTTTTTGAAGGGTTTTTTTGTCTCTATCTCCTTCAGTTCTGCTGTGATCTTAGTTATTTCTTCTCTTCTGCTAGCTTTTGATTTTTTTTTATCTTGCTCCTCTAATTCTTTCCATTTTGACAATAGGGTGTCAATTTTAGATCTTTCCTTGCTTCTCATGTGTGCATCTATTGCTATAAATTTCCCTCTAGACACTGCTTTAAATGGGTCCTAGAGATTCTAGTACATTGTGTCTTCATTCTCATTAGTTTTGAAGAACATCTTTATTTCTGCTTCATTTTATTGTATACGCAGTCATCATTCAGAAGCAAGTTGTTCAGTTTCCATGTAGTTAAGCAGTTTTGAGTGAGTTTCTTAATCCTGAGTTCTAATTTGATTGTGCTGTGGTCTGAGAGACTGTTCATTGTAAATTGCATTCTTTTGCATTTGCTGAGGAGTGATTTACTTCCAGTTATGTGGTCACTTTTAGAGTAAGTGCAATGTGGTGCTGAGAAGAATATATAGTATGTGGATTTCGGGTGGAGAGTTCTTGAGATGTCTATTAGGTCCACTTGGTCCAGATCTGCATTCAAGTCGTGGATATCCTTGTTGATTTTCTGTCTCGTTAATCTGTCTAATATTAACAGTGGAGTGTTAAAATCTCCCACTATTATTGTGTGGGAGTCTAAGTCTCTTTGTAGTTCATTAAGAACTTGTTTTATGCATCTGGATGCTCCTGCATTGGGTGCATATATGTTTAGGATAGTTAGCTCTTCTTGTTGCATTGATCCTTTTACCATTATGTAATGCCCTTCTTTGTCTTTTTTGATCTTTGTTGGTTTAAAGTCCGTTTTATCAGAAACTAGGATTCCAACCCCTGTTCTGTTTTGGTTTTTTTTTTTTTCTCTCTCCATTTGCTTGGTCAATCTTCTTCCATCCCTTTATTTTGAGTCTATGTGTATCTTTGCACATGAGATGGGTTTCCTGAATACAGCACACTAATGGATCTTGACTTTTTATCCAGTTTGCCAGTCTGTGTCTTTTGATTGGGGCAATTAGGCCATTTACATTTAATGTTAACATTGTTAATGTGTGAATTTGATCCTGCTATTTTGTTACTGATTGGTTGTTTTGCCTGTTAGTTGACACAGATTCTTCATTGTGTTGTTGGTCTTTACCATTTGGTACATTTTTACAGTGGCTGGTACTGGTTGTTCCTTCCCATGTTTAGTGCTTCCTTCAGGAGCTCTTGTAAGGCAGGTCTGGTGGTGATGAAATCTCTCAGCAGTTGCTTGTCTGTAAAGGATTTTATTTCCCCTTCACTTATGAAGCCTGGTTTGCTGGATATGCAATTCAGTGTTGAAAGTTCTTTTCTTTAAAGATGTTGAATATCGGCCCCCATTCTCTTCTGACTTGTAGGGTTCTGCCAAGAAATCCACGTGATTCTGATGGGCTTCCCTTTTTGGGTGACCTGACCTTTCTCCTTGGCTGCCCTTAGCATTTTTTCCTTCGTTTCAACCCTGGTGAATCTGATGATTATGTGCCTTGGGGTTTCTCTTCTTGAGGAATATCTTTGTGGTGGTCTCTGTATTTCTTGGATTTGAATGTTGGCCTGCCTTGCTAAGTTGGGAAAGTTATCCTGGATAATATCCTAAAGAGTGTTTTCCAGCTTGGATTCATTCTCCTTGTCATATTCAGGTACACCAATCAAGCGTATATTAGGTCTTTTTACATAATCGTACATTTCTTGGAGGCTTTGTTCCTTTCTTTTCACTCTTTTTTTCTCTAATCTTGCCTTCTCATTTTATTTCATTGACTTGATCTTCGATCTGTGACATCCTTTATTCTGCTTGATTGATTCAGCTATTGAAACTTGTGTGTGCTTTGTGAAGTTCTTGTGCTATGTTTTTCAGCTCCATCAAGTCATTTATGTTCTTCTCTAAGCTGATTATTCTAGTTAGCATTTCTTCTAACCTTTTTTCTAGGTTTTTAGTTTCTTTGCATTGAGTTAGAACATGTTCCTTTAGCTTAGAGAAGTTTGTTATACCCACCTTTTGAAGCCTGCTTCTGTCAATTTGTCAAACTCATTCTCCATCCTTTTTTATTCCCTTGCTGGTGAGGAGTTGTAATCCCTTAGAGGAGGAGAGGCTTTCTGTCTTTGATAATTTCCTCCCTTTTATGCTGATTTCTTTCCATCTTTGTGGATTTATCTAGCTTTGATATCAGGCAGCTGCTTGAAGAGGCAGTCTGTCCCTTATCTGCCTTCAGAGGCACTGCTGGGCTGTCATGGACTCAGTTCCACTGCTGTGTAAGCTTCCTCTGGCTTTTGTTTACACAGGAAGATTAGACCCACAGACACACTTCCCCCCACCTAGTTTGATCATTTCAGGTCAAGCTCGAACTGATGTGCTGGCTACGAAATTCTCAAGTGAGAGGGCTTCAGTTTGCTGGGCTTTGTCAGGGAGAGACCCACCCAGCCATATCACCTCTCTCCCTGTGCAGGTAACTCGCAGGGCTTTTCAGTACAGCACAGGTCTCCTGGTCTGTGGTTTGCAAGGGCCATGGGAGAAGCACAGTATCTGAACCAGAGTGCTGGGGGGGAGAAAGCCCCCAGTCCTCCAGTCAGATGCACTTCCCAGGTGAAACAGCACCCCGCCCTGTCTCAGTTTGCCTTTTTTGAGTTATACCCACTCTCCAACCAGTCCCATTGAAATGAACCTGGTACCTTGTTTGGAAATATGGAGATCACTCACCTTCTGCATCTCTCTTGCTGGGAACTGTGCTCCAGAGCTGCTTCTATTGGCTGTCTTGGTGGAATCCTCTGCTGAGAACTTTTTATGGTAGATTGCATGGTCGATTTTGCAGTATATGTCATGTGCAAATGAGAAGAATATATATTCTGTTGTTTAGGATGGAGAGTTCTGTAGATGTCTGTTAGGCCCATTTGGTCAAGTGTTTTATTTAGGTCCCAAAGATCTTTGTTAGTATTCTGCCTCGATGATCTGTTCAATACTTTTGGTGGGTGTTGAAGTCTCCCATTATTACTGTCTAGTTATCTAAGTCTCTTCAGTCTCTAAGAACTTTTTTCTAAGACTATTAAGGTGGTACCTCTATGACTCTGCAAGAACTACACCATTACTGGGCTTGGGGTGCCCTCCAAAACGGAAATACCTTAGATCACAAAACTCAAGTCCTTTCAAATCTGGAAAGCCTTCCCAAAAAGGCTGGCTATAAATAAGCCCAGACAGTGAAGACTACAATAAATACTCAACTCTTCAATGCCCAGACACTGAAGAACATCTACTAGCATTAATACCATCCAGAAAAACATGACTTCACCAAATGAACTAAATAAGGTACCAGGGACCAATTCTGGAGAAAGAGAGATATGTAACCTTTCAGACAGAATTCAAAATAGCTATGTTGAGGAAACAAAGAAATTCAAGATGGCACAGAGAAAAAATTCAGAATTCTAGCAGATAAATTTAATTAAAAAATTGAAATGATTAAAAAGAATCAAACAGAAATTCTGGAGCTGAAAAATTCAATTGGCATACTGAAAAATGCATCAGAGTTCTTAATGGCAGAATAGATCAAGCAGAATAAAGAATTAGTGAGCCTGAAGACAGGCTATTTGAAAATACACAGAAGAGACAAAGGAAAAAGAATAAAAAACAATGAAACACACCTACAGGATCTAGAAAACAGCCTCAAGATGGCAAATCTAAGAGTTATTGGCCTTAAAGAGGAGGTAGGTAGTGAAAGAGATAGGAGTAGAAAGTTTATTCAAAGAGATAATAACAGAGAACTTCACAAACCTAAAGAAAGATATCCAAGTACAAGAAGGTTACAGAGCACCAAGTATATTTAACTTAAAGAAGACTACTTCAAGGCATTTAATAATCAAACCCCCAAAGGTCAAGGATAAAGAAAGGATCTTAAAAGTAGAAGAGAAAAAAACAAATAACATACCATGGAGTTCCAGTACATCTGGCAGTAGACTTCTCAATGACAACCATATAGGCCAGAAGAGAGTGACATGACATATTTAAAGTGCTGAAGGAAAGACAACTTTTACCCTAAATAGTATAACTCATGAAAATATCTTTCAGTGGCGGCAGGAACAGAGGTGGAAGGGGTCCTGCAGCGACAACGTTGTCAGCAGGGGTGGCCAAGGGAACTAAGCACCGAGGAGACTTGCCTGCTCGGAAGCCAGATCCTGAGCCGGACAGGATGGATCACCACCAGCTGGGGACTGGGCGTTACCAGGTGCTTCTTAATGAAGAGGTTAACTCAGAATCATTGGCCATAGAGCAGCCATCTACTTCAAACCCAGCACCACAGATTGTGCAGACCGCCTCTTCAGCACCAGCACTTGAAACTGACTCTTCCCCTCCACTGTATAGTAATATTAGTGTGGAAGTACCTACAACTTCAGATACAGAAGTTTACAGTGAGTCTTATCCTGTGCCACCTCCCTGTAGTGTTGCTACCTCTCTTCCTACATATGATGAAGCTGAGAAGGCTAAAGCTGCTGCAATGGCAGCTGCAGCAGCAGAAACATCTCAAAGAATTCAGGAGGAAGAGTGTCCACCAAGAGATTGCTTCAGTGATGCAGACCAGCTCAGAGTGGGGAATGATGGCATTTTCATGCTGGCATTTTTCATGGCATTTATTTTCAACTAGCTTGGATTTTGTTTATCCTGCTGTATCGCCAGTACCATAGCTGGACGATATGGTGCTATCTGCGGATTTGGCCTTTCCTTGATCAAATGGATCCTTATTGTCAGGTTTTCTGATTATTTTACTGGATATTTCAATGGACAGTATTGGCTTTGGTGGATATTTCTTGTACTTGGCCTGCTCCTTTTCTTCAGAGGATTTGTTAATTATCTAAAAGTCAGAAACATGTCTGAAAGTATGGCAGCTGCTCATAAAACAAGGTATTTCTTCTTCTTATAGAGACTGCATCAACCCAACATTCCTTTCTTATAACAATGTGAAATTTCCAGATCATCAATAAACCTACAACTTTAATAGGATAGAAGACTACTAATAGCAGAAGACAAATTAGTGAAGAAAAGACAGGGCTTCAAAACTGGATGGCAGGGTGGTTTATGTTTACAGGCCACTTCTGTTCATTCTTTAAGTATCTATATTTCATTTGTTTTGCACATATGCATATATGCCCACTTAAGAGATTTGCATGTACTTGAAAGAAATCATAAAGTTGTAGCACTTAAGTCCAGTCACATTTGGTTAATCAGTGTTTGATATAATTGAAAGAGGTAAGTGGTAAACAGGCTTCCAGCATGTAAATGCCATTGACTTTTGACCTGACATTTAGTCTAATAAAAATGAGATTATTAACCATGAAAAAAAAAAGAAAATCTTCTTCAAACATGAAGGAGAAATAGAGATTTTCCCGAACAAAAGCTAAAGGATTTCATCAATACCAGACCAATCCTACAAGAAATGCTAAAAGTACTTCAATCAGAAAGAGAAGAACATTAGTGAGCAGTCATTACCTGGAGGTACAAAACTTGCTCATAATAGTAAGTACATAGAAAAACACAGAACATTTTAAGTATGGTGTATAACATCTCTTATCCTAAGTAGACTAAATGATGAACCAATAAAAAATAATAGTTAAAACAACTTTTCAAGACACAGTACAATAAGATATAAATAGAAGCAACAAAAAGTTTTAAAAGCAGGGAGATGATGTTAAAGTGAGTTTTTATTAATTTTCTTTCTACTTATTTCTTTGTTTATGCAAATAATATTATCAGGTTAAAATAATGAGTTATAAGATGGTATTTGCAAGCCTCATGGTAACCTCAAACCAAAAAACATAAAATGAATACACAAAAAGTAAAAATCAAAAAACTAAATCATATCACCAGAGAAAATCATCTTCCCTAGAGGAAGACAGAAATAAAAGAAAAAAAGAAGAGAAGACCACAAAACAAACAGAAAACAAAAAATAAAAATGACAGAAGTAAGTCCTTACTTATCAATAACAACATGAAATGTAAATGGACTAAGCTATCTAATAAAAGATATAGACTGGCTGAATGAATGAAAAAACAAGAACCGTTGATCTGTTCCCTACAGGAAACACATTTCACCTATAAAGACACACATAAACAGAAAATAAAGTGATGGAAAAAGATATTCCATGCCAATGGAAACCAAAAAAGAGCAAAAGTTACTATACTTGTATCAGACAAAATAGATTTCAAAATAAAAACTATAAGAAAAGACAAGGAAAATTGCTATATAATGACAATAGGGTCAATTCAGCAAGAGGATATAACACTTTTAAATATAGATGCATCTAACACATGATCACTCAGATATGTAAAGAAAATATTACTAGAGCTAAAGAGAGAGATAGGCCTCAATACATTAATAGCTGGAAACTTTAAAACACCCCACTTTTAGCACTGGACAGATCTTCCAGAGAGAAAATCAGCAAAGAAACATCAAACTCAATCTGCATTATAGACCAAATGGATCTAATAGATATTTACAGAACATTCCAAGAGCTGCAGAATACACATTCTTTTCCTCAGCACGTGGATAATTCTCAAGGATACACCATATGTTAGCTCACAAAACAAGTCTTAAAACATTCAAAAATTGAAATAATTTCAAGCATCTTCTCTGACCACAGTGCAATATGATTAGAAATTAATAATAAGAGGAATTTAGAAAACTACAAAAATACAAGAAAATTAATATGCTCCTGGGTCAATGAATAAATTAAGAATAAAATACAGAAAAATTTCTTGAAACAAATGATCATGGAAACACAATACACCAAAAACTATGGGATATATTAAGAGAGAATTTTATAGCTATAAATGCCTACAAAAAAAAAGAGGGAAAACTTCAAATAAACAATGTAATGATGCATGTTAAAGAACCAGAAAAGCAAGAACAAACCAAACCTGCTATTAGTAGGTGAAAAGAAATAATAAAGATCAGAGCTAAAATAAATGAAATTGAAAAAATACAAAAGATCAATGAAACAAAAAGTTGATTTTTTGAAAAATTAAAATCAACAAACCTTTAGCCAGGCTAAGAAAAAAAGAGAAAATCTAAATAAATAACATCGGAAATGAAAAAGGAAACATTACAACTGATACTGCAGAAAATCAAAGGATCATTAGTGGCTGCTATGAGCAATTATATGCTAATAAATTGGAAAATCTAGAAGAAATGGACAAATTTCTAGATACATGAAACCTACCAAGACTGAACCCAGGAAGAAATCCAAAACCTAAACAGACCAATAACAAGTAACAAGATGGAAGCCATAATAAAAAGTCTTCCAATAAAGAAAAGCCAAGGACCAGATGGCTTCACTGCTGAATTCTACCCAGCATTTAAGAAGAACTAATATCATGGCCAGGCACAGTGGCTCACACCTGTAATCCCAGCACTTTGGGAAGCCAAGGCGGGTGGATCACGAGGTCAAGAGATTGAGACCATCCTGGCCAACATGGTGAAACCCCGTCTCTACTAAAAATACAAAAAATAGCTGGGCATGGTGGCATGTGCCTGTAATCCCAGCTACTCGGGAGGCTGAGGCAGTAGAATTGCTTGAACGCAGGAGGCAGAGGTTGCAGTGAGCCAAGATCAAGCCACTGCACTCCAGCCTGGTGATGGAGCGAGACTATCTCAAGAAAAAAAAAAAAAAGAACTAATATCATTTCTACTGAAACTATTCCAAAACATAGAGGAGGAAGGAATATTACCAGACTCATTCTCTGAGGCCAATATTACTGTGATACCAAAACCAGACAAAAACACATCAAAAATTTTACTAAAAACTTAAATCTAAGACCTCAAACTATGAAACTGCTACAAAAAAACCATTAGGGAAAGTCTCCAGGGCATTGGTCTGCAAAGATTTCTTGAGCAATACCCTACAACATAGGCAACAAAGCAAACATGGACAAACAGGATCACATCAAGTTAAAAAGCTTCTGCGCAGCAAGGGCAGCAATAGGAGGCTGCACCCCTCAGCTGGATTTAGACAGAAGGAGGACCGCTGGACTGGAAGCTCTAGCAGACATGGCCTGTGGTGGTGGGTGGAGTCACCCACCCTGCCTTCAGAGTGTTTCCCGGGGCGCCAGGAGTTTAGACAGAAGAGGCTGAGTTTAGACAGAAGCAAGACTGCTAGCATACAGACGTTGCCTGCCTGGCAACCAGTGGCAGGGGTGGGCAGAATCACCCCCACTGCTGTCCAAGTGGGGAACCTGAACAAAATAACTTGAAGAACAGTTTCATGGCAAGTATAAAAACTACATAGTATGCTTTTTAATCTATTCAGAGAAAAGGTAGGAAAACTTGTTTGGGTAAAAGACAAGATAGTAGGTCGGGCATGATGGCTCATGCCTATAATCCCAGCATTTTGGGAGGGCAAGGTGGGCAGATCACTTGAGGTCAGGAGTTTGAGACCAGCCTGGCTAACATGGCAAAACCCTAGCTCTACTAAAAATACGAAAATTAGCTGGATATGGTGGCACACGGCTGTAATCCCAGCTACTTAGGAGGCTGAGACAAAAGAATTGCTTGAACATGGGAGATGGAGGTTGCAGTGAGTCAAGATCATGCCACTGCACTCCTGGGCTACAAAGTGAGACTCCATAAAAAACAAAAAAAAAAAAGACAAGATAGTAAATGTTTTAGTGTTTGTAGGCCAGAGGGTCTCTGTTGTGAGTACTCAGGTCTGCCCTCGTAGCCTGAAGGCAGCCATGGACATAAACAAGTGGGCGTGGCTGTATTCTAATAAAACTATACTCAGGTACAATAAATTTTCAATGTTATGTTATTTTCACATGCATAAAATATTATTTTTCTTTTGATTTTTTTTCTAACCATTTAAAAATGTAACAATCATTCTTAACTCACAGGCTGTACAAAAACAGGTGGCTGGCTTGGGTTGGCAAACTTCAGCCAAATCCAGCCAGCCACCTGTTTTTGTGGATTTGACCAGTTTGCCAACATTTTGGTCAGGAGTATAACATTAAAATGAAACTTGTTAGAGGTACCAAGGGTAAGGGTATAATTTTTAGTCTGGCTTTTCAAGAGGATTTAGCTACACAGCATGGTAACAGAGCCATGAAAACCAGGAGGTTCTGGAGAATGTGGCATCTAGAAGAGCAAAGCCCTCCTGTGGCACCTCAGACAGGCACATTCTCCACAGGGAGGGCCATGGCCATGACCCTGGATGGTTGTCCTGAGGCTTGTAGGTGTTCACATTGCTGGAAATGTTCCCACAGGAGATAGGAAAAGCAGTTCTATAGATAATTACTTCAGAGGTGGGATAGCTCTCTGAATACCACACCCTCGGCAGTCTCACCAGTGCTAACTGTGTGAATTGGCCCCACTCTCCCCAGATTTCCTCAGCACTCCTGCAGATGCAGGACAGGTAACCTTGAACTTTGGAGCCCAAGCAGGTTTCTAGAATGGCCAGGGCTTGATCCCTGGATGCAGGATGAGTCACCTGCATCCTCTCTAAAATTCACCTAAGAGACCAGGCACAGTGGCTTACACCTGTAATCCCAGCACTTTGGGAGGCCAAGACGAGTGGATCATTTGAAGTCAGGAGTTTGAGACCAGCATGGCCAACATGGTGAAACGAAAATACAAAAATTAACGAGGCATGATGGCAGATGCCTGTAATCCCAGCTACTCAGGAGGCTGACACAAGAGAATCGCTTGAACCTGGGAGACGGAAGTTGCAGTGAGCTGAGACTCCAGCCTGGGTGACAAGAGTGAAACTCTGTCTCAAAAATAAATAAATAAAATACGATACAATTCACCTAAGGAGAGAAGGAAGAGGCACTCAAAATATTGTGAAGAACAGAAGTTGTGACTGTTATTCTATTTGGAGTCTGACTAAGACAGGAGCCTGAGGTCTTTCCCTGGGAAACAGTCACATACGTAAGCTCAGCTCCTCATAGGTCAGGAGGCATCTTCCATCTGTCTCAGGTTGGGCTGGCCCAGAAGCCTGAGACAGGATTTGCTTGCAGGTGGTTTATCGGGGTGGTGATTGCTTAAAAACATCAACAGGAGAGAGAAGTAAGGCAGGGAAGCCCAAGAAAGGTAGATTATGGAGCAGGTTACCTTGCGAGCAACTGAGGTTCCGTGCTGCTGCAGATGTCTGGGAGACAGTGAGAACATGCCTGAGTGTTATCTGCCCTGGGAGTGAGGGACCCCCATCTGTTGTCCACTAAGGGCATCTCCTGCACTGCAGTACTATCCCCCAGTATTTCTGGCCCTCCTGGCTGACAGGCGGAGAAAGAGCCCTCAGACAGATGACCAAAGCTGCTGCCAAGGGACACTGTTGGCAGGTACTGCAACAGCAGGTGCTCAGGGGATGCTATTAGCATCTGCTACACACTCCACTATCTCCTCCACTCCTCCGTGACCTCCTACAACCCCCGGCTTATGGATGAGAAAACTGAGGCTCATAGGAGCTAATGGCCAGCATCATGAGCTTAGTGAGGACAGAGAGTTACGTCTGTTTTGTTCACTCTTTATCCCCAACCCCCTACAGCAGCACCTGGCACATGGTAAACACTTAATAAATATTCAGTGATGAAAAGTCATTCAGAGAGTATGACTTGGTTGAGTCAAGACTTGAACTGGGATCTTCTACCCCAAAGCACATGTTCCTTCTACCACATGGCAGGAACATACCAGTGTCTGCAGCCAGTGCAGTGTGTGGCTTGGAGTAGGTGCCTAAAACAGTTTTTAATTAATTATTCTATTCTCTACCTTTATGTTCCTTCTTTCCCTCCCTTAGGAATCAGAGAAAGAGACCAGAACCTGTGGAGGGAGAGCCCCTGTTCCACATGGTCCTGGAAAAATGAGGATTTGAACCAAAAATTTACACAGCTGCTACTTCTACAAAGGCCTCACCCCAGAAGCCATGAGTGCCTGGTCAGGGGAAGATTGCTTCATAATGTGGAGGAGGATCAAGGACATTTAATTGAGATCGGAGACTTATTTGGCCCAGGCCTGGATACCCAGGAACCTCGCATAGTCATACTGCAGGGGGCTGCTGGAATTGGGAAGTCAACACTGGCCAGGTGGGTGAGGGAGGCCTGGGGGAGAGGCCAGCTGTATAGGGATTGCTTCCAACATGTCTTCTACTTCAGCTGCAGAGAGCTGGCCCAGTCCAAGCTGCTGAGTCTTGCTGAGCTCATTGGAAAAGACTGGACAGCCACTCAGGCTCCCATTAGACAGATCCTGTCTAGTCCAGAGCAGCTGCTCTTCATCCTCGATGGTGTGGATGAGCCAAAATGGGTCTTGAAGGAGCAGAGTCCCGAACTCTGTCTGCACTGGAGCCAGCCGCAGCCAGCGGATGCACTGCTGGGCAGTTTGCTGGGGAGAAGCATACTTCCCAAGGCGTCCTTCCTGATCACTGCTCGGACCACAGCTCTGCAGAGTCTCATTCCTTCTTTGGAGCAGGCACATTGGGTAGAAGTTCTGGGGTTCTCTGAGTCCAGCAGGAAGGAATATTTCTACAAATATTTCACAGATAAAAGGCAAGCAAATAGAGCCTTTAGGTTGGTCAAATCAAACAAAGAACTCTGGGCCCTGTGTCTCGTGCCCTGGGTGTCCTGGCTGGCCTGCACTTGCCTGATGCAGCAGATGAAGCAGAAGGAAGAACTCACACTGACCTCCAAGACCACCACGACCCTCTGTCTGCATTACTTTTCCCAGGCTCTCCGAGCTCAGCCATTGGGGTCCCAGCTCCTGGGCTTCTGCTCCCTGGCTGCTGAGGGCATCTGGCAAAGAAAGACCCTTTTCAGTCCAGATGACCTCAAGAAGCATGGGTTAGATGGGGCCATCATCTCCTCCCTCTTGAAGATGGGTATTCTTCAAGAGCACCCCATCCCTCTGAGCTACAGCTTCATTCACCTCTGTTTCCAGGAGTTCTTTGCAGCAATGTCCTGTGCCTTGGAGGATAAGAAGGGGAGAAGTGAACATTCTAATCACATCGTGGGTTTGGGAAAGTTGCTAGAAGCATATGGAACACATGACCTGTTCAGGGCACCAACCACACGTTTCCTACTGGGCCTGTTAAGTAAACGGGGGACAAGAGAGATGGAGAACATCTTTGACTGCCAGCTGTCTCAGGAGAGGAAGAGGAGGCTTCTGCAGTGTGCCCAGTTCCTGCAGCCCTCACTGCAGTCACACTCTCTGGAGTTCCTCCACTGTTTGTATGAGACTCAGGGCAAAAGTTTCCTGACACAAATGATGGCCCATTTCCAAGAAGTGTGCATGTGTGTGGAAACAGACATGGAGCTCCTGGTGTGCACTTTCTGCATTAAATTCTGCCACGACGTGAAGAAGCTTCAACTGATTGAGGGCAGGCAGCACGGACCAGCATGGAGCCTTGACAGGGTAGTCCTGTGAGTACTCTACCCACCATGTCTCCAGCTCCTCTGTCAGTCCATAAGGTCAAGTGTCCTGAGCACCAGAGGCACACTCACTGAGCCTGTTTGGGGGATGGGAGTGGCTAAAGAATCAGGGTCACCAGTGACTTCTAACTGCCCAATATGACCACCATGCTCTGTCCACCTAAGCTCCTCTGTAGTGTCCAACTGTGGGGCAGACTCTGCTTGTTTCTGGAGAGGCCACTGGGCCCCGCCTTATGCTGCCACCTCTCTACCTACCCTTAGAATGACTGCCCATCTTCTCTCCTGGACCTGTTCCCAGCTTCCAGCTGACCTTAGCTACCCCCACACTCCCCAAGAATCAGGCAGCCCCCCTACCCCTGCTCCTCTCTCTGGCCATTCATTCTCTCAAAGAAACTGCTCCTCCAGCTGCTTCAGAAACCCTCTCGATGACAACGACATTGGCCCTGAGATCTTCCCCATCAGCTCTCAAAAGGAGTTTCCTGGCCAGGCACTGTGACTCATACTTGTAATCCCAGCACTTTGGGAGGCTGAGGCAGGCAGATCACAAGGTCAAGGGATCGAGGCCATCTTGGCCAACATGGTGAAACTTCATCTCTACTAAAAATAAAAAAATTAGCCAGGTATGGTTGTGGGTACCTGTAGTCCCACCTACTCAGGAGGCTGCAGCAGAATTCCTTGAACCCAGGAACTGAGATTGTGCCATTGCACTCCAGCCTGGGTGACAGTGACTGTGTCTCAAAAAAAAAAAAAAAGTTTGCTATTTTTCCCTGCAAAACTGACTTCATAATTATTTGTGACTGTGGTGCCACCGTTGCCCCAGGCACTCAGCATGAAACCCACTCTCTGGTTTCACAAGAGCAGCTTCCTCTAGGCATTCTACAGCCCAGCAACACTCAGAACTTCCTCATCCCGGTTGCCAACCTCTGCCACAGTATAGATCACATGGTATTGGTATGTGTCTGTGTTCTACGTTAGATGATTCATTTCATATTTACTAAGCACTGATTCTATGCTAGGCCCTACAGATCACAGATTAAAAAGCACAATCCTGGCCGGGCACAGTGGCCCACACCTGGAATCCCAGCACTTTAGGAGGTCGTGGGAGGATCACAAGGTCAAGAGATTGAGACCATCCTGGCCAACATGGTGAAACCCTGTGTCTACTAAAAATACAAAAATTAGCCAGACATGGTGGCAGGCACCTGTAATTCCAGCTACTCGGGAGGCTGAGGAAGGAAATCACTTGAACCTGGGAGGCGGAGGTTGCAGTGAGCCAAGATTGTGCCATTGCACTCCAGCCTAGACGACAAGAGCAAGATTCCATCTCAATAAATAAAAAGTAAATAAAAATGCAAAAATTAGCTGGGCATGGTGGCTCATGCCTATAGTTCCAGCTATTCCGGAGGCTGAGGCAGAAGAATTACTTGAAGGTTGTAATAAGCTGAACTCTTGTCACTGCACTCCAGCCTGGCAACAGAGCAAGACTCCATCTCAGAAACGGAAACAAACACACACCAAAAAAGAGCACAATCCCTGCCCTAAGGAGCTCAAAAAATAGGGGAGAAGACAAACATTCATTTAATACTGACATCAGGGTGTGATATCTACAACAGTAGAGATATGGACAAGGTACTGTCGTGTGGCCCAAGGAAGGGAGTGATCACGAGTGGACAAAAAAAGATTCTCAGAGGGAGAAATATTTGATGTGGGTCTTTAGATTCATATTTTTTAAACTTTTTCTCACAATAAAACTCATGTTCATTAAAATATATATATATATATATATATATATATATATATTTTTTTTTTTTTTTTTTTTTTTGAGACAATCTTGCTATCACCCAGGCTGGAGTGCAGTGGCACAATCTCTGCTCACTGCAACCTTTGCCTCTCGAGTTCAAGCAATTTTCGTTCCTCAACCTCCCAAGTAGCTGGGATTATAGGCGTGTGCCACCACACCCAGCTAATTTTTTTTGTCTTTTTAATAGAGATGGGGTTTCACCACATTGGCCAGGCTGGTCTCAATTTCCTGACCTCAAATGATCCGCCTGCCTCAACCTTCCAACGTGCTAGGATTATAGGCATAAGCCACCATGCCCAGCCCTTCTTATATTTTTAAGTAGTCTGATACAACACCATTTTGAATGACCACATACTATTCCACAGGGAAGTGCCATGGCTGATTTGACCATTCTCCTATTCTTGGCCATTGTAAGCTGTTTCTAGTTGTTCATAATTATAAATGTGAGGTAGGCCTTAAAGGACCTGGATACACGTATTCCAAGTGGCAGTGGACCAATGGGAGACATTCAGAAGAGTTCCAGGCAGCCAGAGGCAGAGGCCAAATGGTGGCTGGCCGGGGGTGGGTACTGGGATGGGTAAGGGGAACCAGGAACACCAGACCAGAGGAGACAGTTTGGGATAGGCGGGAGCAAGTAGAGCCTTAAGAGAATGCCATGGGAAAGTCAGAGGCTTCAGCTGCAAGTGGGAGGGGAAATTTTAAAGGAAGTGAGTCAGCTAGGCAAGGCAGAGATAAGAATAAGGAGGCTACTATAAACAAAGTGAAAGTTCAGGAAGAAAGGGTGGAGGTTGGCCAAGGGCTGTGGGAAGGAAGAGGAGAACCAGCCGGAGATATTAAGGAAATGAAGATGGCAGGATGAGAGGTTTCAGGTTGTGATTAAGCATTGTGCATTTTCAATATAAACTTAATTTTTTTGCAGTCCTCTTGATTAAAGATGGCAAATGCTGACAGAAATAAAAAATTTTAAATGTATTTTTCAAGTTTCACAAAACTAAGCAAATGTAAAAGAAATTCAAATAAACCTTCATTTATGGCTTTTTTTTTTTTTTTTTTTTTTTTTTTGGTTTTGGTTTTGAGATAAGTCTCGCCCTTGTTGCCCTAGCTAGAGGGCAATGGCACGATCTCTGCTCACTGCAACCTCTGCCTCCTGGGTTCAAGCAATTCTCCTGCCTCAGCCTCCTGAGTAGCTGAGATTACAGGTGCCTGCTACCACCGCCAGCTGGCTAATTTTTGTATTTTTAGTAGAGATAGGGTTTCACCCCTTAACTCAGGTGATCCGCCCACCTCGGCCTCCCAAAGTGCTGGGATTACAAGCATGAGCTACCGCATCCAGCCTCATTTATGGCTTTTTTTCTTCTGTGTGTGTGTGTTTGAGATGGAATCTCACTGTGTCTCCTAGGAATAGTGCAGTGGCATGACCATGCCTCACTGTGCAACATTGGCCTTCCAGGTTCAATCCATTCTCCCACCTCAGCCTCCTGAGTAGCTGGGACTACAGGTGCACACCACCACATTGGCTATTTTTTTTTTTTTTTTTCAATTTTGTGGAAACAGGATCTTACTATATTGCCCAGGCTGGTCTCAAACTCCTGAGCTCAATCGATCTTCCTGCCTCTACCTCCTAAAGTACTGGGATTATAGGCATGAGCCACTGCACTCAGCTGGCTTTTTCTGTATGTTTGTAGTACTTGTACTTCTGCAATTATTGAAACTTAAACTGCTCTAGGACTTTTGGGATACTCTGTAGTAGTTGTTAATCCTCACACACCCCTCTGCAGAAGATGCTATTGCTGTCCTGTTTTTACAGCCAAGGAGACAGAGTAAGGCACGAGATGCAGAGCCCATGTACAGGCAGCTCCTTGCCTCTGCTCCTTGCCCCCGCACAGCAAGAGGCCAGCACCTATACTGAGCACCAAAGATTAAAAAAAAAAAAAAAAAAAGACAAGTGTCTGTGTCTGCCCTCAAGGAACTCTCAGACTGAGGGAGAAATAGACACACAAAATGAACACTTTAGTGTCCTATGGTAAGGGCTGTAGAATGAGGAGTCACATGGAGGAGAGGGATCTAGCCCTGGGTGACAGGAGCAGATAAGGAGGCTGGTCAGTACTGGGGATGGCACTGCCTGCTGTGGTCTGGTGCTCAGGGGGACAGAGCTCAACTGTATTGTGCAGGGCTGGGTACCTCAAACCCCCCACACACACAACACATCTCTCCTGTCCTCCTCTCTCTCCCTCAGGTTCAGGTGGGTCCCAGCCACAGATGCCTATTGGCAGATTCTCTTCTCCGTTCTCAAGATCACCGGAAGCCTGAAGGAGCTGGACCTAAGTGGAAACTTGCTTAGCCTCTCTGCAGTGCAGAGTCTTTGTGAGACCCTGAGATACCCTTGCTGCCTCCTGGAGACCCTACGGTGAGTCTGGCCTGGGTTCTTTTCTAAAGCAAGGATGAGGAGGAGATCCAAGGCAGAAACTGAGTCTGGCCTGAGGGATTCGCCTTTGCATTCATCAGATATTCATCGAGGCCCCCTCTGGCCAGTGTGACTTTGCTAAACAAACACAGACAGGATGTTTTGCGCGCACACACACACACACACACACACATACACACACAATTCTCTCATGAAGTGAGGCTTGAGGGAGGTCTGAAGAATACAGAGGATTGAACTAAGCAAAGCAGGAGGGAAAAAGTTTCAGGCAAAAAGAATAGCATGTACAAAAGCTCTGTGCAGAAGGCAGGAAGAGGCAGTCAAGAAATTGAAAGCAGGCCAGTGTGGCTGGAGGGCAGATAGCAAAGGAGGGAGTTAAGGCTTCAGATACCAACAAGAACCAGACTATGTAAGCCTTGGGTGTCATGTTGGATTTGGGGTTTTTTCCTGATGGAGTGGGATTTTAAGCAGAAGATTGACAAGATGAGTATATTTTCAAAATAGAAACTGGCTGCAACATAGACAATGGATTGGAAGAGTGCAAAAGTAGAGGTTGGGAAACCAATTAGTAAGAAAATTACAGTAGTTCTTGCAAAGGTGATGATAGCTTGGACTAAGGAAAATTACAGTAGTTTTTGTAACAGACAGCCATAGCTTAGACTGTGGTATTGGCAATGGATATGGAACAAAGTGGCTAGATTTAAGAGATCTTTAAAAGTAAAATCAACTGGGCTGAGTAATGGATTGAAATTAGGGAAAAATGAAGAGGAAGATATCAAGGATGATTTTAGGTTTCTGACCAAAGCAACTCATGAGATGGTGGCACCTACATTACGATGGAGAATACTAAAAGAAAAGTGATTGGGGTTGGGGGTGGAGTGTCATGAGTGTGATCTCATGTTTGCTGGTTTCAAGATCCTTTCAAGGTATCCAAGTGGGCATGCCAAGCAGGTATCCTATAAAGCTCTATAAAACAAATCTCAACAAATTTGAAAGGACTGAAATCATACAAAGTATATTTTCTGACCATGATAAAATGAAATTAGAAATCAACAATAGAAGGAAATTTGAGGAGTTCATAAATACACTGAAATTAAACAACATACTTCTAAATAACCAAGGGTCAAAAAAGAAATTACAAAGGACATTAGAAAATACTTTGAAAGGGATGAAAACAAAAATACAACATGCCAAAAGGCATTGGATGCAGCTAATGCAGTGCTTAAAGGGAAATTTATAGTTATAAATGCCTCTATTTAAAACAAAAAAAGGAAAGATAGGGCCAGACATGGTGGCTCATGCCTATAATCCCAAAGGTCTAGAAGGCCAAGGCAGGACAATTGCGTTAGGTCAGGAGTTTAAGACCAGCCTGGGCAACATAGAGAGACCCTGTCTCTACAAAAACAAAATAAAAAATTAGATGAGAATGATGATATGTGCCTGTTGTCCTAGCTACTTGGGAGGCTGAGGTGGAGGATTCACTTGAGCCCAGGAATTCAGTATTACAGTGAGATATGATGATGCCACTGCACTCGAAGTTGGGCAACAGAGACAGACTTTATCTCTAAAAAAAAATACTCAAGTGTTTTAAAAAATTAATGAAGAAAAAGAAAATATAACAATACACACCTATTAGAATGGCCTAAATCCAAAACACTGACAGCACCAAATGCTGGTGAGGATGTAGAACAACAAGAAATCTTATTCATTGCTAGTGGGGATGGAAAATGATACAGCCACTTTGGAATACAGTTTGGCAGTTTTCTACAAAACAAAATGTACTTTCACCATATGATCCAGCCATTACACTCCTTGATATTTACCCAAATGAATTGAAAACCTCTGTCCACACAAAAACCTGCACGTGCATGTTTATGACAGCTTTGTTCATAATTGCCAAAACTTGGAAGCAAGATGTCCTTCAGGAAGTGAATGGACAAATAAATTGAGGTACAGACAATGGACTATTATTCAATCCTAAAAAGAAACAAACTATCAAGCTGCAAAAAGATATGGAGAAATTTTAAATGCACGTTACTAAAAGAAGCCAATTTGAAAAGGCTACAGGCTATATGATTCCAACTATATGACATTCTGGAAAAGGCAAAACCAAGGAGATAATTAAAAGATTAGTGGTTTCCAGGGCTTGAGGAAAAGGAGGAATTAATAGAGCACAAAAGAGTTTTAGGACAGTGAAACTACTCTATCTACTATAAGCATGGGTTAGGGTTAGGATTAAGGTTAGGGTTAGAGTTAGTATGTATTATTATACAGCTGTCAAAATCCACAGAATGTACACCAAGAGTGAGCCCTAATGTAAACTATGGACTTCGGGTGATGATGTGTCCATGTCAGTTTATCAGTTGCAACAAATTTCACCACAGTGTACTAATGTACAGCATGTCAGTAGTGGGAAAGATTGTATGAGGGATGTGGGGACAAGGAGTATATGGGAACTCTCTACTTTTTGCTCAGTTTTACTGTGAATCTAAAACTACTTTAAAAAATAAAGTCTATTAAAGAAAACAAAAGAGAGGAAGAAGAGAAAGAATCTCAAATCAGTAACCAAACTTACACTTTAACAATTTTTTTCCTTAGGTCTTTCATGTTAGTAAAGATATTTTTTTTTTTTTTTTGAGATGGAGTTTCACTCTTGTTACCCAGGCTGGAGTGCAATGGCGCGAAGCAAACAAAACCAAAACCAAAAGCAAGCAGAGGAAAAGAAATAATAAAGACTAGAGTAGAGACAAATGAAACAGAATAGAAAACAATTAAGAAAATCCATGAAACTAAGAGTTAGTTCTTTAAAAATACCAACAAAATTGACAGCTTTTAGCTGAACTAACTAAAGTTAAAAGTTAGAAGATTCAGATTACTAAATACAGAAATAAAAGATGGGACATCACAACTGAACTTACAGGAATAAAAGAATTCTAAGGGAATATTATGAAATGTTGTAAGCCAACAAATTAGATAACCCAGATGAAATGGGCCAACTTCCAGAAAAACACAAATACCTAGACTGACTTAAAGAACAAATACAAAATCTTAATAGACCTTTAACAAATACAGATATTGAATTAGTAAGTAAAAAACTTTCTATGAAACAAACAAAGCCCAGACCCAGATGGTTTTACCAGTGAATTCTACTAAATATTTAAAGAAGAATTAACACTTATCTTTTCAGACTCTTCCAAAAATATCAGAAAAGAGAACATGTGCCAGTTTGTTCTATGAGATCAATATTACCCTGATACCAAAATTAGACTAATATAATCAAAAGCATCACAAGAGAAAAAAAAATCTACAGATCAACATCCCTTATGAATATATATATGTGAAATTCCATAACAAAATACTGGCAACATATCAAAAGGATTGTAGACCATGACCAAATGGGATTTATCCCAAGAATGCAAATTGGGTTTAACCTAGGAAAATTGATCAATGTAATGCAACATGTTAGTAGAATAAAGAACACAAACTAATGATTATCTCAAAGACAAAAGCATTTGACAAAAATCCAACACCTTTCACATTGATAACACTCAGCAAACTAGAACTGAAAGGAAACTTTTTTTGTTGTTGTTGTTTTTGTTTTTTGTTTTTACTAAAAGGAAACTTTATCAACCTGATAAAGTTGTTAGCAGTGAAAAACCCACAGCTAACATTATACTTAATGGTGGATGACTGAGTGCTTCCCCCCTAAGATTAGGAATAAGACAAAGATGTCTGTTCTTGCCATTTCTATTCAACATTGTACTCAAGGTTCTGTCCAGGGCAATTAAGCAAGAAAATGAAATTAATGGCTTCTAGATTGAAAAGAAAGTAATTAAACTATTATTTGCAGGTGACATGATGTTGTATGTAGAAAATCCTAAGGAATCGAAAATATTCAAATTAGGACCAGGCATGGTGGCTCATACCTGTAATCCCAGCACTTTGGGAGGCTGAGATGGTTGGATTCCTTGAGTTCAAGACCAGCCTAGGCAATATGGCAAAACCCTGTCTCTTATCAAAAATACAAAAAATTAGCCAGGCATTATGGCACACGCCTATAGTCCCAGCTACTCAGGAGGCTGAGGTGGGAGAATCACTTCAGCCTGGTAGGCAGAGGTAGCAGTGAGCTAAGATTATGCCACTGCACTCCAACCTGGGTGACAGAGGGAGACCCTATTTAAAAAAAAAAAAAAAAAAAAAAGCTAACAATTTCAGCAAGGTTTCAGGAAACAAGAACAATATACAAAAATTAGTTGTACTTCTATACACCAGCAGTGAATAATCCAAAAATTAAAATAGAAAAACAATAAATTTAACAAAAGAAAACTTGTACACTGGAAACTACAAACAAAAATGGTTGAAAGAAATTATATAAGACCTAAATAAATGAAAAGATGTCCCATGTTCATAGATTGGAAGACATGATATTATCAAAATGGCAATACCCTCCAAACTGATCTACAGATTCAATACAATCCCTTTCAGAATCCCAGCTGCCATTATTGCAGAAATGGACAAGCTGATTCAAAAATTCATGGGCAAAAATAAGATTGCATGTCAAGCCTGGGGAACACCCCAAGCCCAGTGTTTAATGGCCCGACAAAGAAGAGCCAACAAACAAGCCTGAGAAGGAGGGCCCACATAGATGAAAGGGACATCAGGAGAGAGTGGTGTCATGGAACCCAACAGAACAGAGGGTCTCAAGGAGGTCAGCAGGCGCTACTGCTGCTGGGAGGTCAAGTAAGATAAGGACTGAAATTTGTCCACTGGATTAGAGATAGAAAAGTCATGAATAACCTCAGCAGAAGTAGCTTATGTAACATGAAGAGGCTGGAATGCAGACTGGAATGGATTAAAGAGGGAGAGAGAGGTAAAAAATGAGACTGCAAATATACTTTCTTCAAAGACTTTGGTAGTGAAAAGGAGGAAAGCATTAAAGCAGAGGGGATGGTGGGCTGAGTAAATGTGTGTGTCCATCTGCTTACTTGCATTTAAGAAGGAAAAGATCTCAGTTTAAGTATAAGTGGAGGAGGAGTGATAAAATATACAAGAAGGAGAAGGAGTTATTGATGGCTCTCTATCCTCAGAGGAAGCAAGTAGGAGAAAGATTGGCCTTGGAAGAGTAAGGAAATGTTTCTCTACTGTAACAGGAGGGGAGATAAGGACAGGGAAGATAAGGATAGGTTTCACTCTGAGGATAGGTTTCAAGCTGAGAGGTTCCCACTGACTGCATGATTTTTCTCTGAGAAATAGGAATTTTGAGTTGTTTGCTAGGAGTGAGTGTGAGGATTGAGGTGCTGGAGGTTTGAAAAAGACAAGATCTTCAAATGGCCGGAGGAGAGCATGAGATCTCTGCCTGTCAGGCATTGCTATAACCCATGTGAAGGTTGTGGTCATGATTCAAGATGGCAGCCACCTACTCTATTGTACAGGCAGGAGTTGGGGTGGAAAGTGGGAAGATAGTAGAGTTCAGGGTTAGCCAGGGGAATGTGATGGAAGGTCAGAGGGTAAGAAATTCACTGCCAATGAAGGATCATGGAAGCTAAGCTACATTCCAAGGAAAGTGAAGAAAAGAAAGTGATAAGAAATTGAGAGAAAGGAAATGGCAAGAAAGGAAAGCAACCAAAAGGTTGCTCATTGAAAAGGAGTTACAGTGGGAGAAGTTGAGCAGGCAGAATAAGGAGGCAAGCCTAGCCTTGTGCTGGGATTTTCGATATCCATATGAGGCTGCTCTACCCACCCCTAAAACCTACACAAGGAGAACCACCAGAGTCCAGTAAAAATGTTTTTGAATAGGACTCAGGAATCCTGGTTCTACCTCAAACTTCACACCCCAGTAGGAAGACACCAATCTTCAGTGTATTCTTTACAACATTGGCATAGAACTTTACAATCTCAAACCCAAACACCTTCATATCCACTAATTCCTTGGGCCTTCCAAAAAAAACAACAACAACAACAACACTGTGCAGAAATGGCAGAGCAGGGACAATTATTTCCATTTTCCATATATGAAGAAATGGGCTGGGGAAGGACTTTCCCTGGAGCCAGACACACACAGGTTCGAATCTTGCCTCTATTGTTTACAAATTGAAAACTATAGGTAGGTTTCTTTATCAAGTTTCAGTTTGATTTACTCATTAATAACATGGATTCACCATGTCTACTGTACAAGGTGGCTACAAAGTCAAAGGAGATCATGCATGCTATGTACTTAGGACATGTATGCTATGCACTTAGAATCATGTATGCTATGTACTTAGTGCTTAAGTTGTCCTAAGAGGCTCAGGGACATTAATGACTTACCAAATTCACATAGTTAGCAATGGGAGAACAGGACATGACTCAGTGAGGGGGTGACCCAGCAACACCTACCTCCTCTGTATCAGGTAAGCCAGGGCCTGATTAATTCTAGCTCACTGATGGGACCACCTATGAGCTGAGGCTCCATGGTCCCATCAGGCTTCACCTACAAAACACAAATTCAAAGACAAAATTATTAAGAAATTCAAGATGGTGTCCATAGAGCATTAACCCTCAATCTAGAAGGGTCCTCCTCACACCCCTGCCAATTGCAGGTCCTTCTGAGCACAGGGCCCTGCGCAGCTGCCCTGGTTGTAGACCAATGAAACTGACACTCTTCTCACATCTACTTTCTCAGTAAGTGACAGCAGCTTCTACTCTGAATCCAATCTAGAAGCCTCTTTGGACTCCACTGAGTAACACAGGGTCTACTTGAAACATCTCCAGAAAGTCACTGCTCTGACTCAGTTGTTCATCCTCCCACCCACACCCCCTGCCTCCTGTCTCTCCCTATCCAGCCCCCTCAAAGATTTTTTTTTTTTTTTTTTGGAGATGGAATCCTGCTCTGTCGCCCAGGCTGGAGTCCAGTGGCACAATCTCGGCTCACTGCAACCTCCTTCAGGGACTTTTCTAAAGCAATGCAGAGACACCACTGGTGTCCTCAGAAACTTTTATGGGCTCATCACTGCCCTGGGGAAATAGGTTTCTACATCTCATAATGGCATCCAAGACCTACCACCATTGTGATATTTTCTAGCTTTACCCCCGAACTTTCTCTCTACCTGGGTAGCCTTTATGCCAACATCACTACACTAACTGCATGCTGTGATTTCACATCTGCCCTACCAGCCATACACACCCCTGCCTCTGCCCTCACTTCAGTGAACTACTCATATAAGGCTCACCTTTTCCTCCCTGTCTTGGCAATCACTCATTCCTCTGCCTTCAGCTGTACCTGACTTGCCCCTCTTTTGTTGCTATTTCATTCATTTATTTACTACATACTTACTGAGCACCTACTGTATGCCAGATCCTGCTCTGGATATTGGGATATGACTAGAAAATAGGGCCTGGCATGGTGGTTCATGCCTGTAATCCTAACACTTTGGGAGGCCGAGGTGGGTGGACCCCTGAAGTCAGAACTTAAAGGCCAGCCTGGCCAATGTGGCGAAACCTCGTCTCTACTAAAAATACAAAAATTAGTTGGGCATGGTGGCACATGCCTGTAGTCCCAGCTACTTGGGAAGCTGAGGCAGGAGAATCACTTGAACCCAGGGGGCGGAGTTGCAGTGAGCTGAGATCACGGCACTGCACTCCAGCCTGGGCAAAAGAGCAAGACTCCATCTCAAACAAAAAAAAGAAAATGAGCAAAATCCCTTCCTAAAGGAGCTTACATTCTACTTGGGAAGGAGGACAAGAAGCCAAATAAATAAGTAAAATATATTGTGAGTGACATGAGCTATAGAAAAAGTAAAGCAGAAAGGAGCAGGGAGCCTAGGGGTGGATGTGCAATTTTAAGTGGAAAGATGAGGCAAGAGGTCCCCAAGGTGACTTCCTTCAGAGCAAAGACCTGATGCAAGTGGAGGAACAAACCATGAGATATCGGCTCCAGAAGATCGTTCCAGGCAGAAGCAGGTGCGGAGGCCTTAGGTGGAACTCTGTCTGGGGTGTATGAGGAACAGAGAGAAGGCCAGTGAGGATGGAGCTAAAAGAGATTAGAGATGAGGACAGAGATGATGAGGATCCAAGTCCCCAGGGCCCTGTAGATCTGGAAAAGGACCTTGACTTGTACTCTGAGTCATGTGGGAAAACGCTGGAGAATGTTAATCAAAAATATATTTAAAAAAAAAAAAAAAAACGATTATTTGTTTCTATGTCTATCCCAAAGTAGCCTGTGCATTTCTGGGGCCTGGGTTTTCTAGACCTCTGCCTGGCCCACAGGCCTGGCACATAGTACGTGATCAGTGTGTGCTTATGGGTGTTTGTTGAATCAACAGAGTAAGCTCAAGGCCATGGGTTTGTGTCTTCCACAGGTTGGCCGGCTGTGGCCTCACGGCTGAGGGCTGCAAGAACCTTGCCTCTGGGCTGAGAACCAGCCAGACCCTGACCGAGGTGGAGCTAAGCTTCAATGCGCTCACAGATGCTGGAGCCAAACACCTTTGCCGGGGACTGAGACAGCCAAGCTGCAAGCTACAGCAACTGCAGTAATTGCTCCTGGTGTGCAGGGGAGGTGGGGGGAGCTGCCTGCCACCATGAGGCAGACGGAGGGGACAGGCAGAGAGAAGGTGAGACCTGCTTTGTGGGAGTGGGAGGAGCCTACTGGATCTCAGCCAGGCAGTAGAGGCTCAGGAGGAAGCTCATCCACCCCTGGACAGAAGGAGGGGGCCTCCAGGCTCCAAATAGAGCAAGAGAAACCAAGTCGAGTCAAGGGGCATGGATGCAAGGTGGGGACAAGGGGCAGAATTTGTGGCCATTTTCACAGACTACCACAGAGGAGGCTGATAATGTGCCAACTTCATAGAGCTATGAGAATTGCAGCAGTGTTTTTCTATTCCTCTCCTGTTCCCACCAGCTGTGATCTACCGAGTAACAGGTCCTCTCACTTGGCATGAGACTCTGCCATGGAGAGCTAAAATCACTGGTGTCCACTTAGTTCGATTTTCTATCTCATTCGAAAGAACAGAGCCATGCCCCCTACCATGTAGAAACAAGGCCAGGCAATGTGATTCATGCCTGTAATCCCAGCACTTTGGGTGGTCTGGATGGGCAGATTTGAGGTCAGTTTGAGAACTGCCTGGCCAACATGGTGAAACCCTATCTCTATTAAAAATATAAAAATTAGCTGGGCATGGTCGTGGGTACCTAGAATCCCAGATGCTGAAGGAAGCTAAGGCAGGACAATCGCTTGAACCCAGAAGGTGGAGGTTGCAGTGAGGCAAGATCTCACCATTGCACTGAGCAAACAATCACACCATTGTTTGGGCAGCAGAGCAAGTCTCCTCAAAAAGGAAGGAAAGGAGAAGGGAGGGGAGAGGAGGGGAGGGAAGCAAGGTTGGCTGTTCGTGGTGGTTCATGCCTGTAATTCCAGCACTTTGGGAGGCCAAGGCAGGTCAATCACCTGAGGCCAGAAGTTCGAGACCAGCCTGGCCAACATGGTGAAACCAAATCTCTATTAGAAATACAAAAATTAGCCAGGCATAGCGGTGCACGCCTGTAATCCCAGCTACTCAGGAGGCTAAGGCAGGAGAATCACTTGAACCCAGGAGGTGGGGTTGCAATGAACTGAGATTGCGCTCCTGCAGTCCAACCTGGGCCACAGAGTCAGACTTCTCAAAAAAAAAAAAAAAGACAAAACAATTAGACCCAGGTATACAAGTGGGACATTGAGTAAATTACTCATCGATGTGGGCAGAGTGAGGGGATAGGATCAGTGGGAATCACACAGGATTGAGAAAGGGTGGGTGCCAGCATCCTGAGGGGTTCTGTGGCTGCAAGAAGAAGGTGAAAAGCTCTCAGGTTACTGCAAGCCAGGAAAGTTTGTATCTTCTCGGCATGTCACCCCAGACCCCAAAAAAGCCACACATGCCAGGAAGGAAGATCAGAAGAGCAAGCCCTCAGGACAATGACCTGGGCTGGTGTGTATCTTTCCTGTAGGCTGGTCAGCTGTGGCCTCACGTCTGGCTGCTGCCGAGCCCTGGCCTCTGTGCTTAGCGCCAGCCCCAGCCTGAAGGAGCTAGACCTGCAGCAGAACGACCTGGGTGATGTCGGCGTGCAGCTGCTCTGTAAAGGACTCAGGCATCCTACCTGCAAACTCACACGCCTGGGGTAAGTCCCTGTGGGTCCCTTCTAGGCAGAGGGCAGAGAAGACGGTTGCGGGGGCTGTCGGACAGGGAAGGAAAAGGGACTGATAAATTCATATAGTCAACACATACTTCTTACCAACTCTACCACTTACACACTGTGTGACTCGGACAAGTCACCAAATTCTCTGTGACTCTTCCTTTATCTGTGAAATGGGAATATCATACCCACCTCATGGATTGTAACATATATAAAAACAAGGACAGGAAAGATGTGTCGGCTCACACCTATAATCTCAGCACTTTGAGAGGCAAAGGCAGATGGATCAAGGAGGGGTCAGGAATTTGAGACCAGCCTGGCCAACTTGGTGAAACTCATTTCCACTAAAAATACAAAAATTAGCTGAGCATGGTGGTGGGCGCTCGTAATCCCAGCTACTCCGGAGGCTGACGCAGGAAAATCACTTGAACCCGGAGGTTGAGGTTTCAGTGAGCCAATATGGCGCCACTGCACTCCAGACTGGGTGACAGAGTGCGACTCAGTCTCAAAAATTAATTAATTAATTAATTAATAATTAAATAAAATAAAATGCGAACAAGAACATTACTGGGAAGAGTCGGGCATGATCAAATGATAACTGTTACTGAGGCTACATGTTATAGGCGAGTCTCAGATTCCCTTTACTCCAGGGCAGTGCTTCATTCATTTATTTACTCATTCATTCATTCACTGAGTGCCTCCGATGTGCAAGCACCAAGCTGGGCCCTGGGGTACAATAGTGACCAAACAGACATGGGCCCTGCCCTCCTGAAGCTTACACTCTAGTGGGGAACAGATGAACACTGGTCACCTGTAAATGCACAAGTATATATGTATGAGCTCTGTGGAGTGCTATGAAAGGAAAGAACAGGGTATTATGAGAATGTGATATTGGGGGAGGATGGAATTGGATCAAAGGTCCAGGGAGGACTTCCCTGAGAAAGTGACGTCAGACTGAGGTCTAAAGGAGGAAGAGGTACCCAGGCCAAGCTGGGGGGAGTAGTCCAGGCAAAGAGATGGCATAGGGAAAGGCCTGGAACAAAGAGGTGCTTGACCCCGGAGAGACGAAGGACCCCGAGAGGCTGGAGTGGAGCAAGCCCCCAGCCCTCATTTCTATCTGGTGGGCCCCAGAGATTCTTGTCCTTCCCTGAGCAGCCACCCCCGTACTATCTCTGGGCCACTTCTGCTCCCCTCTACTCCCTGGGAACAAGCTTATGGGCCACTTCTGTCTTAACACTTAACTATGGCTCCTGCTAGGGCCCCTGCTACATGCTCAAGGAGCAGACAGGGTCTCCAAACCCCTACTTCCAGAGCCTTCTCAGAGGGGGTCCGAGAAACCTGGGCCTCAGGCTTTCTTCAGCAAGGCCTCCCAAACCAACAGAAGTGGTCAAGGCAGAGTAACAGAAATAGTCTACATTTGGGTTCTCCTGTAGCTGAACTAGCCATTTACAACCATGGGAACTCAATCCCAAAGGGGCAGTACCTTTGCACCCCAGCCTGCTGCCCCCTACTCATCGTTTTTGGCTATCATCACCTCCCCTATGTTGAAGAGCCTCTCCCCAGAGCATGTCCATTGTGGGCAGACATGGCAGACGCAGGTTCGGGCCCCAGCTCAACACTTACCTGTCAAACCTGGGCTGCCTCCGAGAGGGTCTGCTCTCTAGAGTCCCAAGAAGGTTTCCACCTCCTTCCCTCCTGGAGCCAGGACTTAGTTGAGAAGAATAACCTTCTACTTGAAGGGCTGCCCTCCTCCACAGGGACAGAAACGGCTCTGACAGCAGGCGGGGCACGAATGCAGAGCCCTGCACTGCCCTTCACAGAAGTCAGGGTCTTTTCACCACCTCCTTGTCTGTGCCTCAGAACAGGCAGGACAGGAGTGATTCACCCCACAGGGTAGATTGAGGACACAGGCACCCAGAGAAGACAATCAGCATCCCACATCCGGCAGAAACCCCAGAGCAAAACTTCCGACCTCTGGGAAGAAAATCCCAGGACCCAGACCTCAGGTGGTCATTTTCAGGCCATGGGGAATGTCCCTGGCAACTGGTTACAGAGACAGCCTCTGCCAGTGAGAGCTATCTCACCCAAGGCCACATCTCCTTCCTGGGGAGGCCTGCATCCGATGCCTGGCCGATGTTGGGGTATAAAGGCCCAGACCCTCATCCCAACTCCTTTAAACAGCTCTACAGGATCATCCCACAGAGTCAGTTGAGGCCTCCATGGAGACTGACTCACAGCCCACGTCTCCCCGATTGCCTCCCTTCTCTTGCCCTGGTGTTGACCCAAGAACACACCCAAATGAATCTCCTCACTATACCCTCATCCTCAGAACCAGGCTCTCAGGGAACCCACCCTTCAGAAGGAAGCCACTTCTTCAGAAGGTGACAAGTCCTGGAATTCTGGGCCCGGAAGACCTGTGAACTACATGGGGTATCCCAGGAGGACCTCACTTCCTTTGTGCTTTCAGGCTGGACCAGACAACTCTGAGCGATGAGACCAGGCAGGAGCTGAGAGCCCTGGAGCATGAGAAGTCCCAGCTGCTCTTGTCCTATACACGGTAAGGGGTAGCCCCAGAACTCCCTCTGACTGATCCAAGCCCAGGGCTGAGTAGGAGACAGGGAAAGAGTGAGAGACAAACCCGGCCAGGGAGAAACCGAGAAGCTGCAGCACCCAGAGTGAGATGCACTTGTCAGTGCAAATAAAATGAAATCTCCCCATGCTTCAAGTCTTGCGCTAGACAAACAAGGAAAGGAAAACATGAAAAAGTAAGTAGGTTGAAAAATTCACCAGGCATGGTGGCACATGCTTGTAGTCCCAGCTACTCAGGAGGCTGAGGCACAAGAATTGCTTGAACCGGGCAGGCAGAGGCTGCATTGAGCCAAGATTGCAGCATTGCACGCCAGCCTGGGCAACAGAGTGAGACTGGCTCTGTAAAGTTAACTAATTAATTAATTCATTTAATTTAATGAAAACCAAGACAATGCTGGGGATAGAGTCAGACATGATCAAATGATAACTGTTACTGAAGTAGCACATTCTAAGGGACTCCCAGGTTCCCTTCACTCCAGCACAGCAATGCATTCATTCATTTACACATTCATTCATTCACTGAGTGCCTCCAATGGGCAAGCACCATGCTGGACCCTGGGGTATAATAGAGAGCAAACAGATGTGGACTCTGCCCACCTGAGGTTTACACTCTAGTGTGGAACAGATGGACGTTGGCTGCCTGTAAATGCACAAGTATATATGTATGAGCTCTGGAGTGCTATGAAAGGAAAGAACAGGGTGTTATGAGAATGTGGTATTGGGGGAGGATGGAGTTGGATCAAAGGGCCAGGGACGACTTCCCTGAGAAAGTGACGTCAGGCTGAGGTCTGAAGGAGGAAGAGGTACCCAGGCCAAGTTGGGGAGGGTAGTCCAGGCCAAGGGATGGTGTGGGGAGAGGCCTGGAACAAAGAGGCGCTGACGCCCCGGAGAGCTGAAGAACCTTGAGCAGCTGGAGTGGAGCGAGCTTCCAGCCCTCATTTCCATCCTGTGGGCCCCAGAGGTTCTTGCCCTTCCCTGAGCAGCCACCCCCACGCTGTCTCTGGGCCACTTCTGCTCCTTTCCACCTCCTTGGGAGCATGCTTACAGGCCGCTTCTGTCTTGACAATTACCTATGGCTCCTGCCAGTGCCCCTGCAACGTGCTCAGGGAGTAGACAAGGCCCCAAATTTCTACTTCCAGAGCCTTCTTAGAGGGAATCCGAGAAGCCTGGGCCTTGGGCGTTCCTCAGCCAGGCTTCTCAAAGTATAAGAGGTGATAAAGGCAGAATAACAGAAATAAATAGTCTACATTTTGATTCTGTAGCTGACACCGGCCATTTACAGCCATAGGTACTCCATCCCAAAGGGGCAGTACCTTTGCACCCCAGCCTGCTGCTCCCCACTCAGTATTTTTGGCTATCATCACCTCCTCTATGTTGAAGAGCCTCTGCCCAGAGCTTGGCCATTGCGAGCAGACATGGCTTCAGGCCCCAGCTCAACACTCCTGTCAAACCTGGGCTGCCTCCGAGAGGGTCTGCTCTCTAGAGTCCCAAGAAGGTTTCCACCTCCTTCCCTCCTGGAGCCAGGACTTAGTTGAGAAGAATAACCTTCTACTTGAAGGGCTGCCCTCCTCCACAGGGACAGAAACGGCTCTGACAGCAGGCGGGGCACGAATGCAGAGCCCTGCACTGCCCTTCACAGAAGTCAGGGTCTTTTCACCTCCTCCTTGTCTGTGCCTCAGAACAGGCAGGACAGGAGTGATTCACCCCACAGGGTAGATTGAGGACACAGACACCCAGAGAAGACAATCAGCATCCCACATCTGGCAGAAACCCCAGAGCAAAACTTCCGACCTCTGGGAAGAAAATCCCAGGACCCAGGCCTCAGGTGGTCATTTTCAGGCCATGGGGAATGTCCCTGGCAACTGGTTACAGAGACAGCCTCTGCCAGTGAGAGCTATCTCACCCAAGGCCACATCTCCTTCCTGGGGAGGCCTGCATCCGATGCCTGGCCGATGTTGGGGTATAAAGACCCAGACCCTCATCCCAACTCCTTTAAACAGCTCTACAGGATCATCCCACAGAGTCAGTTGAGGCCTCCATGGAGACTGACTCACAGCCCACATCTCCCCGATTGCCTCCCTTCTCTTGCCCTGGTGTTGACCCAAGAACACACCCAAATGAATCTCCTCACTATACCCTCCTCCTCAGAGCCCAGTTCCCAGGGAACCCACCCTGCAGCCATTCCTTCAGAAGGTGGAAGTTTCCTGGATTCTGGGTCCTGAGGACCTCTGAACCACGTGGGGGTTCCCAGGAGGACCCAGCTACCTTTATGTTTTCAGGCGTTTCCAACAAACTCTGAGCAATGAAATCAGGCAGGAGCAGAAGGCCCTAGTGTAGGAGAAGCCTCGGATTCAGATCTTTCGCATGAGATGGTAAGGAGGAGCGCCAGAACTCCCTCTGGCTGATCCAGGCCCAGGCTGATCAGGAGACAGGGAAAAAGTCTTGGGGTGAGAGATAAACACAGCCAAGAAGAAACCAAGAAACCGCAGCAGCCAGAGTAAGGTGCCCTTGTCAGTGCAAGTAGAATCAACCCCCCACCCCCAGCTTAAACTCTTCCATATGCAGACAAGGAGAGAACTTGAAAAGGTAAGTAGGCTAAAAAACTAGCTGGGTGTGATAGCAGGTTCCTGTAGTGCCAGCTACTGGGGAGGCTGAGACATGAGAATCACTTGATCCAGGAAGGTGGAGGCTACAGTGAGCCAAGGTCAGGCCACTGCACTCCAGCCTTGGCAACAGACCAAGACTGTATCTCAAAAAAAAAAAAAAAAAAAAAAAAAGGAAAAGAAAAAGTCAGTGAACCAGTAAATCCCCTGGACCCAGCACAGCTTGTTACCAAATGGCCTCTTGTTCAGGAATCCTTTGGTGAAGAACAGAGAAGGTTTGGAACAATGAAAGCAGTGATCACAAGAGGGAGACAAAGACAGAAAGAGCCTGTGCCTTGGGAAAAATACCACCCTCGCCATCACTGTATCCACCACCCTTACCACCACCACCACACCCACCCCAGACTTGAGGGGAAGCCCAGGGACAGGAAAGTCCATCTTTCACTCCCCGAGGAATCAGCTGCAGCCCCTGTGTTCTCCCAGTTGGGTGCATTTCCACCTGACCACGAAGCATATCTGTCCCCAGGTTCCTGGCTGCTGTGTCTCGCCTGAAATGGAAGGAAAAGAGCTCCTAGGCTTAAGAGGAGCCATTCATTCATTGAACAAGCATTCCCTGCAGACCCACTGTGTGTCGGGCACCATTTTGGGATATGAGGACACAATGAACAGGAAAGATACTGCTCAACCTCCAGCAGCTTAGTCCACAGGGAGACATACACAGGTTATCCCACGAGTGCCTGCATTTACACCTGGGGTCAGTGTGAGTACACTGATGGGCCTATTTGAGCTGGACAAGAGGAGCTGAACTGAGCTCTGAAAGATAGGACGAGTTGGCTGGGCCCAAGAAGGGGTGGATTCCAGGCAGAAGTAGAGGCTCTGAGAGAGAAGAGTTTAGCCTCTGTGAAGAATGGGAGACCAGGCATCAGGAGCCACTACTCAAAAGTGTGATCCGTGGACCAGCAGCATCAGTATCACCTTTACCAGGAGCTTGCTAGAAATGAAAATTCTCAGGCCCTACTCCAGACCTGCTGAATCAAAATCTCTGGGGTGAGGCCCAGGAATCTTTTTTTTTTTTTTCTTTTTGTTTTTTTGAGACAGAGTCTTGCTCTGTCACCCAGGCTGGAGTGCAATGCACGATCTTGGCTGACTGCAACCTCTCCCTCTCCAGTTCAAGTGATTATTCTGTCTCAGCCAACCGAGTAGCTGGGATTACAGGCACATAACACCATGCCTGGCTAATTTTTGTATTTTTAGTAGAGACAGCGTTTTATCGTATTGGCCAGGCTGGTCTCAAACTCCTGACCTTTTGATCCACCCAACTCGGCCTCCCAAAGTGCTGGGATTACAGGTGTGAGCCACTGTGCCTGGCTGAATCTGTGTCTTAACCAGCCTTCCAGATGATTGTTAAGCACACCGAGTTTGAGAAACCACTGGACTAGAGATCAGTGAGCAGGAAGAACATGCACCAGGTGACACTGGAGGGTGACAGAGGCCCCAGCAAGCCCTTTTGGACCATGTTTAAAACTTCCCGCCGGGCGCGGTGGCTCAAGCCTGTAATCCCAGCACTTTGGGAGGCCGAGGCGGGTGGATCACAAGGTCAAGAGATCGAGACCATCCTGGTCAACATAGTGAAACCCCGTCTCTACTAAAAATACAAAACTTAGCTGGGCATGGTGGCGCATGCCTGTAATCCCAGCTCCTCAGGAGGCTGAGGCAGGAGAATTGCTTGAACCCAGGAGGCGGAGGTTGCGGTGAGCCAAGATTGCACCATTGCACTCCAGCCTGGGTAACAAGAGCGAAACTCCGTCTCAAAAAAAAAAAAAAAAAAAAAAAAACTTACCATTTTCCCCTAGAAGCAATGGAGAGACATTACAGGGCTGCGGCAGCCAAGTGATGGGTCAGGTTCCTATTTTAAGATCCGCTGCTACGCAGAAAATGGGCAGCAGAGGGACCTGAGCAGAATCAGGGAAACCTTTCAGAGGATGCTGCAGTGGTACAGGCCACAGAGGCCAGGGCCTGGGACTCAGGTGGAGGTCATGGACATGCAGAGAAGAGAATAGAAAGGAGCTATTTGGGAGGTGTTATCAAGGTGATCGGCTCTTAGGTTTGGTGAGTAAAGAGTTGGGATGATGCCCCAGCTCTCCTGGATGCATGAGTGGATGGAGGCCACCCACAGAGACAGGGACCACAAAAGAAGCACAAAATTGAGTTCAAATTCAGATGAGGTTTAGTTGATTTGGTTTGGTTTGGTGGCAGCATCTGGCTCTGTTGCTCAGACTGGAGTGCAGTGGCACAACCTCAGCTCACTGCAACCTCTGCCTACTGGGCTCAAGTGTTCCTCCCACTTCAGCCTTCCAAGTACCTGAGAATTCAGGTGCATGATGCCACCATGCCCAGCTAGTTTTCGTATTTTGGGCAACGATGAGGTGGGGAGGTCTCACTATGTTAACTCAGGCTGGTCTTGAACTCCAGAGCTCAAGCCATCCACCTATCTCGACCTCCCAAAGTGCTAAGATTACAGATGTGAACCACTGCACTCAGCCCGAGGATGAGTTGAATTTTAAGTGGGGATGTCATGTAGACAGCCCTCACTTTCTCCAAGATCTTAAGGATAACAAACAATTCTTTCTCCAGGAAACCAACTGTGATGATCCCTAATGAGGGCCTGGATACAGGAGAGATGAGTAACAGCACATCCTCACTCAAGCGGCGGAGACTCAGATCAGGTAGTTAGAAGGGGTGAAGCTGGGAGCATCATGATGGCTTGGGGGAGGCCAGCTATGGGAGGTCATCCCCTCCATCCCTCTGCCCCTTATGTGGGACAAGGCAGGTTCCCTACCCCTATGAGAGAGCTCCCACTCCTAACAACTGGCTGGATTTCTGCTTCCCTCTCTCCTAGCCTCAGGGGCTGGTGCTGCCTTTCTCCAGAAAATCTATGGCATCTATCAAACCCTGAACAAGGGTCCAGCCTCCCATTCTTGGCTGCCAAGGCCTGGGAACCACATCTCCATCTTTTCCCTGCCATCTTTAAAAGAAAGAAAGAAAAGAAAAACAGGGTCTCATTTTACTGCTTAGGCTGGAATGCAGTGGTATGTTCATAGCTCACTGCAGCCTCAACCTCCTGAGCTCAAACAATCCTCCCATGTCAGCCTCCTGAGTAGAACTGGGACTGCAGACGCACACCACCATGCCTGGCAGATATTTTTCTTTTTTCTGTAGAGACGGTGTCTTCCTATGTTGCTCAGGCTGATCTCGAACACTTGGACTGGAGCAATCCTCCTGCTAAGGCCTTTCACAGTGCTGGGATGACGAGCAAGAGCCACGGTGCCTGGCCCCCTTCATCTTTTGAAACATGTTCCTCTCTCAACCTGCCCAACTGGACATACTGGGAAGAGTGCCCCTTCTGTTCCAGTGTGGAAGGGGAGAAGGGCAGAGGCTGGGCTGGAGGCAGTGGAGTGGGCCTACTCAGACAGCAGGCAGGCAGCCAGGGAGCAGGAGCAGAAGCTGCAGACGTACTACTCCCTGCCACGGTCCAGGCAGGCCAGCCCTGTGAAGGCCCCTTAGAGTGCAGCCATAGGGGCTGGGGGAAGCCAGGTGAAAGAATGTGGAGCTGACCACTGCCTTGCTGTTTCAGAGAAAAGCATCCCAAGGATAGCACAGCAGGAACTCGCCTGCCTGCCTTCTCCTGCCTCTCACGAGGACCTGCATATGAAGCCTTTGGGGACTGATGATGACTTCTGGGGCCCCACAGGGCCTGTGGCTACTGAGGTAGTTGACAAAGAAAGGAGCCTGTACCGGTGAGTGAGGACTCTGCTGGTCCTAGGTTGGCCTCCCCCACCCCACTGCCCATCCTCGGTCCCCACAGTCAGTACCCCCCAACTCACACTGGCCATTGGGTCCCCTCCTCTTGCCAAGACAACAGGCAGGGACAGGACTGAGACACTGGGTATGTGCTTTTCATGATACAAAAGATGTTTTCTTATGAAACTTTAAATTTTCAAACATAGGTAAAAATAGAGAGTACAAGGAGCTTCCATGTACCCATTACCCAACTTTAGAAACTGTTTTACCAAATTTGTTTCAGCTGTTCACTTCCCCTCTTTGTACTACACTTGATCTTAGCCAAAAGGCCGAGAAGCGATACCCCCCTTTGTTATTGTTACAGTATTTTAAATCCAAGACATCAGATGATTTTACCCTTAAATATTTCATTATGCATCTCAAAAAACAAAAATTAAAACCTTTTCTTCCATAACATAACTACAGTACCAATATCATATCTAACAAAGCTGACAATAAGTCTTTCATTTCATCTAATCCCCAATCCATATTCAAATTGCTCAATTGTCTAAAATGTATTCTTGGAGTTGATGTGTTCTTTTATTTTATTTTTTTTTGACACAGAGTCTCACACTGTTGTCCAGGCTAGAGTGCAGTGGCACAATCTCAGCCCACTGCAACCTCTACCTCCTGGTTCAAGTGATTCTCCTGCCTTAGCCTCCCTAGTAGCTGGGACTACACTTGCATGCCACCAACACCCGGTTAATTTTTGTATTTTTAGTGGAGATGGGGTTTCACCATATTGGACAGGCTGGTCTCAAACGCCTGACTTCTTGTGATCCATTCCACTCACCTAGGCCTCCCAAAGTGCTGGGATTATAGGCATGAGCCACTGTGCCCAGCCAGTTGGTGTGTTCTTTTTTTTTTTTTTTTTTTTTTTTGAGATGGAGTTTCGCTCTTATTCTTATCAAGATCCAAACAAGGTCCACTCGTTTTATTTTGTTTGTTATGTTTCTTAAATCTCACTTAACTCTCTTTTAATCTATATGTTCCTGTTTTATTAACAGCCACCAATGAGCTAAGGATTGTACTAGTAGCTGGGAACCCTGAGATGAATATAGCAGCTCTGCCCTCCCAGGGCTTATAAGTTGCATTAGTAAGAATTGTCTGTAGTCACACTTATGATCTCTTACATACCGTATTACCACTCACCAAACACTGCCACAGACATCATCTCAGCTAGGAGACAGCATCACTCCCAACTCACACCTACAGAAGCTGGGGCATCCTGGGACCCACTATTAACCCACATGGGGAGCCTTGGGAAAATCACTGCTAATCTCTGTAAAGTGTTGTGTTCGTTCTAAGAGTTTAACATTGGTATTAGCACATATGGCCAGTCATGGTGTCTCATGCCTATAATTCCAGCAGTTTAAGAGACCAAGGCAGGAGAATCACTTGAGTCCAGGAGTTCAAGGCCAACCTGGGCAACATGGTGAAACTGTGTCTACAAAAATTACCGAAAAAATTAGCTGAGCGTGGTGGCGTGTGCCTGTAATCCCAGCCACTCAGGAAACTGAGGTGGGAGAATTGCCCAAGCCAGGGAGCTCAAGGCTGCGGTGAGCTGAGGTCAGGCCACTGCACTCCAGCCTGGGCAACAGAGTGAGACCATATTTCCAAATATAGATATTTTCCTGCATTCCACTCTTCTCTGGACATAGATACATGCATACATACATACATACATACATGATTAGATAGATAAAAGATACATAGATACATACATACATATCTTAGCACATATATTGTTATTGATTATTGGTTAATAGACCCTTTACATATACGAACACTTATTATTTCATCATCACCATCATTGCCATCATCAACATAATAGAAACAGTTAACTGCTCTCAGGTGTGTACTAAGCTGTGAGCATGTTAGGTCACTTATTCTCCCAACTAAGAGATGGGAGCTATGATTATTCCTACTTACAGATGAGGAAACCAAAAACAAGAAAGTTAAATGACTTGCTCCAGGATCCACAGTTAAAAACAGAAGAGCCGGGACTAAAATGCAAGTCCATCTGAATTCTGAGTGAAGTCTGGGCTTGAAGCCACTGTACCGTATGTGCATGGGGTCTGGCATCCAGGTGGTGCTCAGTGAATTTGTTCAATAATCTGCCTCTCTCTCTTCTTCCCAGAGTTCACTTCCCTGTGGCTGGCACCTACCGCTGGCCCAACATGGGTCTCTGCTTTGTGGTGAGAGAAGCCGTTACCACTGAAATTGAATTCTGTGTGTGGGATAAGCTCCTGGGTGAGATCAACCAACAACACAGCTGGATGGTGGCAGGGCCTCTGTTGGACATCAAGGCTGAGCCTGGAGCCATCAAAGCTGTGCACCTCCCTCACTTTGTGGCTCTCCAAGGTAAACAAGAGGGAAGGATGGAGAGAAAGGTGGTGGTAATTATGGGTCTGAAAGGGAGTATAGGATAATGATATCCTGGGAAAGGGTATTGTGGCTTCCTTAGAGGAGCTGAGGGAGGGTTAAGGAGATGGGAACTAAGATTTTCTGCATTCCATTCTTCTCTGGACATATTTTTTTAAACACATTTCCCAGCCTCATAAATATGTCTGCCTAAACTTACTTGAAAGTTTTTATTAAGTGTTATTTATATAGATCATATCACTCAGGGTCCCAGCAGAAAAGAGATGATATGCTCACTTGGGATTTTTGAAGAAGGTTTTCAAAGACCAGACCATTCACAAAGTAAGGCTAAGTGAACTAACAAGAAATGTTGGTGGGGCACTAGCACAATAGGAAGCCATCACTACTCCTACAGGCAGGGAGAAGAAACAGTGTCATGAGATTCCATCTGAGAGCTGGAGCCATGAAAGAGGGGCTTCCCAACAGAACATCATAATCACAAAATATCCTGACCTCTGTCACCTCCAAAGACTTCCTGCAGATAGAGTTCCAAGAAACATCAGCTAACAGTCAAAAATCTAACAAAGGAGAAACAAGAAACCAGAAGTAAGAACCAGCAGAAACTAGATACCAGAATCAGTTCCTTAAATCCTTCAGATGTTGAAATTATCAGAAACAGAACATAAGTGTATATAATATGACCAAAAAAATAAGTAACCTTAAAATTATCAGCAAAAATAATGAACCATTAAAAATGACATATCAAAGTTGGAAACTAAATTGACCAAAAAAGTGAAAAAAACAGGAAAACAATTAAGTAACTTGTAGGACGCCATGATAAGTCCTAATATATATCTAAATCAAATTCCAGAAAGATATGATAGAAGGGGAAAAAAAGGAATATTCAACAAGACAATTGCAAATACATTTCTAGAAGTATTAAGACATACGATACTTCAAGATGAGAAATCCCAAAACATGCAATGAAAAAAAGACAGAGACAGAAGGGAGATAAAAAAATCAACATTAGTCTCATTATTGTGAAACTACAGAATAACAAAGTATGAGGGAAAGTCAACAGCAGCCAGAAAGAAAGATAGATTACCTAGAAAGCTGCCACAATCAGGCTGATGACTGATTTTTGAACTGCAACAATGGAAGACAGAAGACAATGGAATGATTTCTTCAATGTACTAAAAACCGTCAATCAAAAATTGTAAACAAGGCCAGCTCAGTGACTCACAGTTGTGATCCTAGTACTGTAGGAGGTTGAGATGGGAAGAGCACTTGAGCCAGGAGTTCAAGACCAGCCTGGGCAAAACGGTGAAACTTCATCTCTACAAAAAAAATTTTTAAATAGCCAGGAATGGTGGAACATGCCTGTGGTCCCAGCTACATGGAGGCTAAAGTGGCAGGATTGCTTGAGCCTAGGAGATCGAGGCTGCAGTGATCTGTGATTGCACCACTGCACCCCAGCCTGGGAGACAGAGTGAGACCCTGTCTCAAAAAAAATATAAATTTTTTTAAAAGTTCACAGATAACTAAAACCACTAAAGCCAAGAATGCTTTCTGCAAACAAATGCTTACTGAAGAAAATTCTGAAAAACACATTTCAGGCAGCCAGGCACAGTGGCTCATGCCTGTAATCCCAGACTTTGGGTGACCAAGGTGGGCAGATCACTTGAGGTCAGGAGTTTGAGACCAGCCTGACCAACATGGAGAAACCCTGTCTCTACTAAAAATACAAAATTAGCCAGTTGTGGTGGTGCGTGCCTGTAATCCCAGCTACTCGGGAGGCTGAGGCAGGAGAATAGCTAGAACCCAGGAGGCTAAGGTTGCAGTGAGCCGAGATCGCTCCATTGCACTCCAGCATGGGCAACAAGAACGAAACTCCATCTCAAAAAAAAAAAAAAAAAAAAAGATTAGCACAGTGGTTAGGTGAAAAATAAATAGAAGCAATAATAAAGATACACTTTAGGCAAAAGAAAATGATCCCATATGCAAGGTCTGAGTGCAAGATAGAATGATAAGCAAAGATATTAAGATATTTCTTTGCTGTCATATATAAAAATTTTAAAAAGAAAAAGGAATAAAAAGATACTGAGACATATGGGTAAATCTAACAAAACACTGACTGGATAAAGCAACAATATTAAGGACTCGTGGTGATTTAAAAGAGAGAAACAACTACGTAAATACCAACACTAATAGCAAATAAGAGTGCTAAAGGATTCTAAAGTCTTGGTATATTTCAGAAGGAGGGAAAGGCAGGGCTGGCCTACAGAGAGATGCACCAGTACTGCTGCCCAGGTTAAACTACTGAAATACTTCTGGACAGAGCAGTAAAGAGAAAGTCTCCACTTCCTGAGACCTAACAACGACATCTGGTGTTGACCACAGGCTGGAAAAGGGGCCTGGGTCTGGTGCAGAATGGATGGGATGCCTGAGGCAGTATTGCTCCTAACCTGCCCCACAGAGAGGCAGGCGGGGCCGAGCCTACCAGGCAGCAGGACAGGGACATCCACAGCAGGGTTAGCAGGGGCTGCACACAGGCTCCACACCAGGCCACATGGGTCAAGCTGGTATCAGATGAAACCCAACCAATGCTGGATGCTTGGAACCTAATGTTTATTAATTTATTATTTATTTTATTTACTTAGTTAGATGGAGTCTTGCTCTGTCACCCAGGCTGGAGTGCAGTGACACTGTCTTGGCTCACTGCAAATTCCACCTCCTGGATTCAAGCGACTCTCCTGTCTCAGCCTCCCAAGTAGCTACGATTGCAGGTGCACACCACCACACTGGGCTAATTTTTGTATTTTTAGTAGAGATGGGATTTCACCATGTTGGCCAGGCTGGTCTCTAACTCCTGACCTCAGGTGATCTACCCACCTCGGCCTGCCAAAGTGCTGGAATTACAGGTGTGAGCCACCATGCCCGGCCAATATCTATCAATTTAGTGAAAAAGTTAGAAGAATCTGATGTGTCCCCATGTCACATCATGATTTTGATAGAAGTTTCATTTTATTGCTGATAAAATGATTTGATAAACAATTTATGTTATAGCTTACATCAGTTATAAGCACTTTATGATTTGTATAGTGTAGCTAGATATTAAATGGGTTTTCAATATTTTTTCTTTTCTTAATTTCTTTATTTCCCAGGAATAGAGGTAAATGGGCTTTTATTTTTAGTTTTTCATTTATCTGTTAGTTGATATGTTAATTTATAGTATCATTCCAGTAGTTCAATATATTTTTAGTATCATCTCAAAGTAAAGGCATTAACTTTACATATGCACATACTAAGGTAATCAATCAAGGCATATATATAAGAAAAATTATTTAGAAGCTAGTAGAAAAAGAAAAATGAAATGAGAAAAATAAAAAGCAAAGAACTGCTCAGTACCCTGGACCAGGAAAGTCTTATTTGCCGAGGCCACAAAAGCTCAGTCAACAATTCAAGCTGCACACCAGGAGGAGAGCATGGGGCAGGGGAATAGAGCCTTGGGGGCCTCAGGAGCCCTAGATCACCTGGTTTAACAGTCAGGGTCATAGGATCATTCCCTAGGGAAAGTTCTAGAATAAAGCAGAGTAGAGGGATGAGGTGTAAGACAGCTCTGGGACTGTAGAGGTCCATTTAGAAACGAAGAGATTGAGGAGAGGAAACTGATGGCTGAAACAAGAAGCTGAGACAAGTTACTTGTTACCACCTAGCAATATACATACAGAGTAATAAACAGCCACTACCACAACCAGCCTGCCTCTTCCACAAGTAAGACTGTGACCAGGGCTCTCCAGGTACTCTGTTAAGAAGAGAGGGACTTGGCTAATGGAGTCAGTGGGCTCACCTCTGTTGTAGCTCTGCCCATGACCGGCAGCAAAAGAATTTGTCTTGGCTCAACCTGGCATGCTCAGGGCTCTACCACCACTCCCTGCTCTAACCAGGGTCCTCCAGGAGAAACCTCATCCAGCTAAGGTCTGCAGCCAGAATGTACCACCAGAGCCCTGGGGACAAAGTCTGTCTTCAACTCCTGCTCCTGGCACCCCCTCAGTCCCTGCTCTCAGAGGTGGATGACCTGGTCCTTTCCATTGTGAGGACTCCTAAGCCATGCTCTGGTCAGTCTCCTACGTCCATCATGTGGGCCTGGGAAATGAAATTTGTCCAAGGAATTACAGGCATCTAGCTTAAGCCTGCCGGGCTGACAGCCAAATCAGATTAGGAATGAATTCACTGAGCTTGTAGCACTGTCTTTTGAAGACTCCTGGAACTTGGCTAATAAGAACTATGAACAATAACTAAGCACCCTGTGCCAGGTGCCATGCAAGGTAGTTCCATATATATTAATACCATCTCTATTTTCATAATGAGCCAGGATATTAGGCACTAGTTTTCCCTTGGTATACCAGTGAGAAAATTGAAGCCAAGAGAGGTGAAGACCCTCTTCCAGAGTTGTGAGTCCATCCCAAGCCCGATTTATCCCAGGCTAAGAGCTACACCCCTACCCCTCCCCAGTCCTGCCAAAGCCCATGTCCCACCAGCCTTTCCTAGACCAAATTCTGAGCCTCACCTTGTAGCCAGATAGTACTTACTCCCTTTGGATTCTGTATACCAAGCTTGTACAACTTGCGGCTTGTGGGCCACATGCAGCCCAGGATGGCTTTTAATGCTGCCCAACATGAATTTGGAAACTTTCTTAAAACATTACAAGGCTTTCTTGCAACTATTTTAAAGCTTATCAGCTATCATTAGTATTAGTATTAGTATATCATTGTGTGGTCCATGACAATCTTCTTCTTCCAATGTGGCCCAGGGAAGCCAAAAGATGGGACACCCCTGCTACAGAACAAGAGGCAGAATGCACAGAGGCCGCTTTTAGCTGGCCATGCTCATGCCCAGCCAGGAAACCAATCCCTGGGGCCAGTCAGGGCCCCTTCCAGAAATTCTTGCTGCCTGCTCTCTGGGCTGCAGCTGTTTGTTGCCCTGGAAACAATGACCTC